ACTTCAACCCGAAGTATAACTGTAAACAACTACTGTATCTGACTTTTAGAAGACACCTGAAGGCTGCCCTGTTTAGGGAAGTTTTTAATATTTGATGCTTTATTGTGTTTTTAACATTCTGTTGGGAGCTGCCCAGAGTGGCTAGAGAAACCCAGCCAGATGGGTGGGGTATAAATAATATATTACTACTACTACTACTACTACTACTACTACAATGCACAGGAGTGCTGCTGGGTTGCAGGTGGCATGGCGAGGACAATTATAGACACGCTGGAACTAAGTTATAGATGCGCACCTGGTAATAGGGCAGGAAAACATCCAGCAGCCAGTCTTGTGTAGCCAGAGCGAAATCTAGGATCTGAGGAACTAGGTGTCTGCTATCCTCACAAGAGACTCTTTGGGACGCTGTGGTCAAGTCACGGCCTCTCGGCTTCAGCTCTGTGGGGCAACATGCGAGAAATAATGGACTGTCTCCTAGGTTCATTGTGGGGTTGGTCTAGATGGCCCCTGGGTCCCTTTTTGCTCTGCAGTCCTATGATATACTTGGGGGGAGAGGAGGAGAGAGAGAGAGAGAGAGAGAGAGAGAGAGAGAGAGAGAGAGAGAGAGAGAGAGAGAGAAGGGTGGGGTTTGAGGCAGGCACAGAGGTTTTGTACAGTATAAAATAATAGTCATACCCAGTTGGGAGAGTCTTATGGTCTAGAAACCTATTCATCTTGCTTCAGCTTCTTTTGGTTAAAGTCTCAGTCAGAAGGGCCAAGGATATATGCAGAAGGCAACATTTCAGCAGGTACATCTTGTTGTCACGTGCAGCTGCTGAACTTCCTTCAAGGTGGAAGAGCCTAGTTCTCGTTTGCATGTGGCAGAGCACCTCTAGCCTTTTGGCCCCGATTCAGCGAATCCTAAAAGCTACCAAACCTCTCTTACAGCCCGAGCTTGTGCACGTTTACTTAGGAGTCATTCGCAGGATGTCACTGTGTAGTCAGGATTGGTTCCTCGAAACCTCCCCCTGTAGAACGTCTCCTTCGAAGTAAGTTCAGTGGAACTTACTCCCAGGTTAGCGGACAGCACTGCAGCTGGAAGCACGAGCTCAGCTGAATCCCACGGCACACGCCTTCCCAGTTAGCACAGAATTGTAGACTTGGAAGGGACCCCAGGGTCATCTAGTCCAACCCCCTGCAATACAGAAAACTTTGGCCAAGATTCAGAGTCTCAGGTTCTGCTGACTGAACTATTCTTCAATGGAAACAGTAATAAATCAGCAATAAAGTAAAAAGGATGATACAGTATTTAAATTATCCAATGCCAGTCCTTTGAGCCGATGTGCCCTGTCAAAGGATGGGAGGAATCCGATCTGTGAAATAATGCCATATATATATATATATATATATTTTTCCCCATCCCAAGGAATAAATCTCAACAACAACAAAGCAAATGCAACGCAGATCGGAGATGGAATCCAAGGCACCGCTCGCTTCCTCGGGAGTAAGCCCCGTGAGAACCAATAAGAACTTCCTTCCCAGGAAGCATCGGCAACTCATTGTATGATACGGATTTGAGCCTCTGCGCCCTTAGAAGCCGTTGCGCAAGGTCTCATCCTTTGCCCTGATCTTTTGACTGGAGATGCGCGCCAAACTGGTGGAGCGGGTTGGCCAGAGAGAGCCACCAGCTAATTCGAATTAACGCGCAGCAACGGCATGGTCTGCTGCAGTTACAGGAGGTCACCCCCTTCTTTGAAGCCAAGCAGGTATCGGTCAGGTCGGCGTTTGGAGGAAACGCCAGAGCCAAGCGCGCGATTGCTGCATTGGGTTGCTTGGCTGAGGGAACAAAAGTATATTGCGTTTAGACGCGTTGCGCGCAAATCATCTTTGTCAGAATCACGCGCAAAGCTGCGATCCTGTGCACTTTGGCCTACGGGAGTAACGGGAGGAGAGGGTCGCATTGTAAGCGCCACTTCCTCATTCTTTGTGGCCAAAACGCTTCCCGAGAGCAAAACCAAAGGAGGACACCTTTTTAATAAAACAAAAACCAGCGCCGCGGAAAACGCCGCGCTCTCCCCACTCAAGAGTTGCCCGCGAAGGAAACAGGCCTGCCAGTTCTGCCAGCGACAGGGGGAGGAGATGGCGGGCGCCTGGATGGCGATCCGAGCATCTCTCCAATAGGAAAAAAACGCGCCGCGCCTTGCGCAAAAAGACGCGCCAGCGACGGCAGCTCAGCCGCGGAGCCGGGTTTCGTTTTCGAGGTTGGCTTGAAAAGCAAGCCTCGCACCTTCGAGGAGCGGAAAGAAAATGGCTTGGGTCTTTGCTTCGGCAAAAAAAGAAGAAGGAGCGAATTCTCTAGATGGCAGCATTGTAGCCAAAAAGCATGGGGTTTTAATAAAATAAAATAATGATGATGATGATGATGATGATGTATGAGTAACGGTGATAAAATTTTAATAGTAACAGATGCATGATTAACGGCGAAGAAGAAAAAGAAAAAGAAAAAGAAGAATCCGACAGTTAATCATGCATCTATTTTATCTTTCCAATTTCTTCAAATTTTTCGAAAAAGAGGAAGAGTTAATTGGTCGGATCTTTTTTAAATAAAAAAAAACCTTTATTGGAAAAAAACAACAACCCCACCCCAAAAATAACTATAGATCTTTCTTTGTTGTTAAATCTAAAATAACAATCATGCTTCTCTACTAACCATCCCAACAACGGCGATGCTGCGTCTTTTGCTGAACAAGAATCGTTTTAGTGGCATCCGCCCAAATCCTAAGCACGTTTACATGGAAAATCATTTTTTTCATGGCTTCCAAGGAAATTTACCTGGGAATGATGTAAGGAGGCGGTTAGGGACGATAGTGGCCTTAACTGCTTTCTCTGTTCAGCTTGGTGAATTTGTACTAATCCCGTTCTTATATTCATTTGGCAGGAGGGAGACGGGAACTTCTGATAAGATTTCTCTCTCTGACCAACCCAAGTTTTGTTTTCGTTTTGGCGATGCCCACCACCGGCGCTTAAATAGCACCAGATTCCTAATATATTATATATAGTATATAAATCACGTCGAGAAATGCATAAAAGCGGGGGGGGGGAGCTCGTACGAGGAAAAATGGTATCGCGAGCCCCCCCCCCCTAACAAACAAGCCAACAAACTTGGCAGCCGCCCCGTCGCCTCCTGGCAGCGCGCCTTGTCAAGACGAAGCGGCGCTAATGACTCTAATGACGTCGGGCGCCATCGAGGGTTGATTAGAATCAATAAGAGCTTCGCCTTCGACGGCATGCGAATCACACCGATTATGCTCACTATTATTTTGCACATTGCTCTTTTCCGGGGTGAAAAGGAAGCGTCTTCTCTCTTTTTTAAGGGCTTCAAAAAACAAAATCTGAGCCCCACGTCGGGGGGTTGGACTAGATGACTCCGGGGGTCCCTTCCACGCTACAATTCTGTGATTTTCTATGAAAACTTGGTCTAGATACACACACACACACGCAGGCACTTGCCTATATATAACCCCTCGCGGAAAGAAAGCGGGAGACTCCGGGGAACACAAAACGTCAGGGACGCCCCCTCAACCCAAGGCCTGCATTGGCCACGGGTGAAAGGCCGCCTAGCCCCACCGAGACCCCGCCCCCAGTTGCCCTAGGGCGCTCCCCTCCCCCCTTGCCTTCTCTCTCTCTTCCTTTTGGCCTTTGATTTGCTCTCTTGACACCCGCTTCGCCAGACGTATTTTAGCCGTCTGCTTCCCGTCCTATAAGGCCTCCTATTCCAGAATACACCGGGCGCTACTTAAAAATATATAGTAACAAGAATTATCATAGATCCACACCAGCGGACTGGTTCTGACCCTCGCAATGCTCTCTGGCTTGTTTCTTGGCTGCCAAAAACCTTCTAAGCTCTCGACCGTCGTGAGAAAAGGAAACGCTGCCTCCTGACTTCCCCGTTGCTGGCTGCATTTAAGGGGGGGGCGGCTCCTGGGAATTCTAGTCTAGCCCATGGGTAGGCAAACTAAGGCCCGGGGGCCGGATCCGGCCCAATCGCCTTCTAAATCCGGCCCGCGGACGGTCTGGGAACCAGTGTCTTTTTACATGAGTAGAATGTGTCCTTTTATTTAAAAGGCATCTCTGGGTTATTTGTGGGGCATAGGAATTCGTTCGTTTTTATTTATTTTTTCAAAATATAGTCCGGCCCCCTACAAAGTCTGAGGGACAATGGACCGGCCCCCTGATGAAAAGGTTTGCTGACCGCTGGTTAGTCCTCCCTGCGCCCAAAGTCCCAGGACCGGCCCCCTGCTGAAAAAGTTTGCTGGCCCCCTGCGCCCAAAGTCCCAGGACCCTTGATAATCTACAGTTCCCAGCACCCATCGGAGGAAGCCATGCGCTTTAAACGCGCGGCGCGCCGGCCACCCACAGTATTCGCTGCCTCCTTTGGCGACCCCAAGTCATCCGGAATGGATCCAGAGGGTGCGAGAGTAGGAGCCCTCGGTGGGCTCTTTCGCCCATTTGCCAGGCCCAGGTTGAGGCCGAGGCAGGGGTTCTCCCAGGCCTGCCTGACCTGCAGTCGCCAGGAGGTGGGGGAGATCAGGGAAGCCGTCCTCTGACTGCGCGCTACGGCGCACGCTTCCTTCTCGCCTCTCTGTCAACAGGGGCGAAGGAGGGACGCGCGCTCTGGCTGGCCGCGAATCATCTCGAGTCGCTGAGCTTTGATCAATCCGAACTAATTACCCCCGAGTCTTAATTAAAGTCTTTAGCAGTTGGATCAGCGCTTTGGCAAGCGGACAGGAAGGAGCGCTTGGCAGTTCGACGACACCCGCGTCGGGCGGAGCCTGGCGAGAAAAGGGCGGCGGCCGGGAGGCCTCGCAGCTCCGACGGCGAGGCCAAGCGACTGCCCTGGCGCCGATCCACGACCCGTTCTCTCCCTCCCCGCCACCTCGAGTCTCCAAGAGCCAACGCACTCTGCTTGAAAGGGGCGGTTCGCCCGTTTATTTGCCACCAGATCCACCAAGTCTTTTTTTTTTTTTGGCACGTGCAATAATAATAATAATAATAATAATAATAATAATTCTTTTAAAAATACAACCGGGAATTTCAGATCCGTACAAAACTGAAGCCAACCCCGTCCCCGTTCACAAGAGATCACGAAGGTCGAGGAGAGGAGAGTTGGCGATGGTTGGGGATGAGGCACAAGGGAGGGAGAAGACCGTCGGGGAAAGGGGGAAATCGAGAATCCGAGATTCAGCCAGCCGGCAAAGTCAATCGACACACTTTTTTTTTCGGGGAGGAGGGGGTTGTTATTCTATATACAGCGACCGAATTCGAGGGACGAATATCGAGGGTTGTCAGAGCCCAAAATAACACACTGTTGGATGTCGGGGAACAAAAGATCGTCTTGGGGACGCATCCCTTCAAGGAGGAGACCTTCCGTGCCAAAGGAGGGACTGGAGGGGTCTGCTATATTTTAAAAGGCGTCTCTCTCTCTCTCTCATACACGCACACAGTTAGACGAGCCACACTCTGAATTAAGGTGACACACACGACCGTGGAGCTGAGCTCAAGTGGGGTGACGCTTTCCGGACCGTCGAGGGACCGTCCTTGCAGTGCAGAGCCACCGCTGAACTTTAAAGAGACGCCGGTTCCGTTTTCTACAGCGGGGCGGGAAGGCGACTCTTTGCAAAGGGGAGATCCCCGCTGGAAGGCCGCTGCCACTTTGGGAAGGACGCAGATCTCTTCCCAAGAAAGGTCAGTCGCGCTCCCGGGGCACCGCAGATGGGTGGGACTGGGGCCTTGCGACAAGGACAGGAGGGCCTGCGACGTAAGTCAGCGTCCCTTCAGCTAGAAAACCCTTGCCACCGGTTGCTGAACCCGAGCTTAGAATATATATTTGGATAACCTTAGGCAGGGAATCCTGCATTTAAATACCCGCGACTTAACAGCCGCTGAATAAAGCGCCGGGCGCGCCGAAGTTTGAAATGGCACACGTCGAAGGTGGCGTTTGAAAAAGGGAGCGCGCGCCCCTCGCTGTTTTCTGTGGGGCAGGGTACTTAGAAGGACCCCTTTGAGCAAGGGACACCCCAGAATTTCTGAGATGTGGGGGGGGGCGATTTAAAATCTCTCTCACACTCTCTCACACACAAGAGACACCAATTGGGCGCTGCAAGATATTCTGGAGCGAATGGAAGTCCTTTAAAAGGAAGGGGCCTTTTCAAAAAAGGACAGGGGATTTTCATAGCAAAAGGGGGTCTCTTCCCCGCACCCCTCTTGGAGGTGAGCACCTGGCAACTCTAGGCAGACTTCCCGGCTGGGTCTCGACCCAGCTTTTTCAATAAATATACGCCCGAAGTAACGTTTCAATAGTCCTGGTTTTCTCAAAACCAGCTCCCCAGCTCAGGCGGGGAGACGCAAGTCTTTCTTTCCCCGACTGTCGGGGGCAGAGAGAAAAAAACAACCCAAAGCAATTTCCTTGTCTCTCTATCTTTCTCCAGCAGTCCCAGAGGGGAAGAAAAACCCGACGGCTTTCTCTGGAGGGAGCGCGGACCGCCGTCGAAGTGCATGCAGAAGAAGGGCGGACGGCGGCGGCGCGCCTCACGGGCGGTGAAGCAGCATTGACGGCGGCGGCGGCGGCTGCAGTTCCGGCTCGACGGCGCTTCGCGAGGGAGCCACGCTCGAGCCGCCGCTGCCGTTGGTGTCGTGCAGTTTGCGGACGTGCTTCTTGAGGTCAAAGTTCCTGCAGAAGCCTTTGCCGCAGGTGGGGCAGGTGAAGGGCTTGGTGTCGTTGTGGGTGTGCATGTGGAAAGTCAAGTTGTACACCTGGTGGAAGGCTTTGTTGCAGATATTGCACTTAAACTGCTTCTCGCCGCTGTGCGTCAGTTTGTGGTTCTTGTAGTTTCCTATTTGGTGGGGAGGGGGGGACACAAACAACAGGGCAAGGCGCTCAGTGAGGCACGTGGGGAGACCCTCTCCCGCCCCCCAAGCACACACAGCCCAAGCGGGCGCGCACACCCACCCCCACCCACAAGCCCCGCTTCAAACAAACAAAAAAACCACAAAACTAGCTCAGGTTAACATCTTCGGTTGGCATTCCCGAGTCCATTCCGTCGAAAGAATTCAAATTCTTTTAAGTTTTTTCTACTTAAAAACAAGAACGAAACAAGCAATCGAACGAAAAACCACACACGCAAACACACAGACACCAAAATCCAAAGAAACTGAAATATTGGGACGCTCCTGGTTAGCCGATTTGTGTGCCCAGATCCAAAATGCCGTTTATTTGGCCAAAATTCCGTGAACTGACTTCCAGACTGACTTTCAGGAACCGGGGTACTCCAATAATAAAGCGGTTTAAATCCCTTTCCTCTCCTTCTCCCTCATCCAAAATAAAATAAAATCGTTAGCCAGCGAAATCAACCCGCTTTGGGGTGAATTAAATTAGGACTGGAATAATCCACAATGCGGTACTAAACAAAATCTACGATTTTTATTTTTAAAGATTTTCTTCCCAAATAAATATTTAAGATGGGAATGTTAATTCCATACACCTCTGCGAAGTGGAACCATCTTAATCCGAAGCGGTGCTTAATCCGGGTTTTCTTTTTGGAATTTGCATCTACAAACAGAACCGTGCAGAATATTCGGAGTTTACTCTCACAAGACTTCGGTTAACACTTGCAAGCCTATAGTTCGTTTATTTGGAAATAAGTGCCGTCGAGCTCAACTGGGTTTACTCTCAGGTAAGAGTGCAAGACATCGCTGCCTTGGATTTCAATATTATACACGCCACCTCACAAGTAAGTCCCACTGGGTTCAGGAAATTTCGGCCTTATTTCCAAGCAAGCCCACGGAAATCAGTGGCACTTATTTCCGCATAAACCTGCACAAACTAAATTGTTAATCCCAATTATCCTCACAATAATAATTGCAATCGTTCTCGCGTTTTTAAATCCACACTAATGCTTCGCCCCTCACCCCAATTAAACAGAAGTGGCCATTCGAGAAAAACAACAATTGGAGAAGCTAAATAGTTAGCTCTCTCTATATATCTTTTGCTCCTGGTTTTCTATAACAGCGGGGATCCTCCGTTCCTCTTCCCGCAACATAACTCCCCGAACTCACACAAACAATAATGCAGGCGTAACATTTTAGACACGCTTAAAAAAATATCCGTTTGATATCCGTTTTAAATATTTTTTTTTTAGCATATTCGTTTTCAACATCGGATACGGGAGGGGAAAAGGGTGCGCGCGCGCGTGCGCGCTGTAACAACAACGACGCCATTGAATGCAGAGTCGTACCTTTTTGGTGAAACCCTTTCCCGCAAAACTCGCAGACGAAAGGTTTGTAGCCCGCGTGGATCCGCGTATGCGTGTTCAGCGTGGAGCTCCGGTTAAACGCTTTCCCGCACTGGTTGCATTTATGAGGCTTCTCCTGTATTTTTTTTTATTTTAAGGAGAGACAAACGCAATCAAATGCCAGTCCGTTTTGCAGCTTCTCTCCAAGCGGGGCACAATCCTGGCTCTCTCCCCACCCCCCAGGACAGCAAGAACTGGGGAGGAAGGTGCTGTTTTCGCTTGGAAAGAATATCAGCTTCCTTTGCTACCCGAGAGGGCCTCGTCCTGTTAAGTTTAAACTCTGGCGGCGAGCGCCCCTCAAGTCTATTGGAGACTCGCGCGGGGTTGCGGGGAGGGAGAATACTGAAGCTGGAACTCGGAACCTAATCGCGCTTGATGGGATGTGAGTTTAGTCGGGCTTACTTCCGAGGAAGCGCATTTCAGGATGGTGGCCCTAGTGAAATAAACAGCCGACGGAGTGAGAGGAAAAGGGAGAGAAGGGAAATTTGGAGAGGTGGCTGTCTAGGGGACAATACCCAAGCACTATTGTTGGGGAGGGGGAGAAAGGGAAAAAGACTAGTATTTCTTCCCCCCACTTCTCCCCCCCTCTCTCTCTCTCACACACACACACCTACACACACACACGACGAACAGCTCGCTTTCCAGTTACTGCCTCCAAAAGACAAACATTCCGCACGTCGAGGAGGCAGAACACAGAAAGAGAGAGGCAGATGCTGGCCAGTTCGACGGACCAGGGACAGGAAGGGAGGAGGCTTGCAGAGCCACGGCGCGGAGCCGTCGGGTGGGAGCCGCGCGTGGCTGCTGGCTTTGTACGCGGCAGTCGAGAAATCCGCGCGTTTGCTGGGCGCAGAGCGGAGGGAGAGCGAACGAGAGAGTGATCGCGCGCGGTCGGTCGGTACCTGGGTGTGGATGATCTTGTGGCGACAGAGTGTGCTGGCCTGGCGAAAGCCTTTGCCGCAGACCTTGCAGACAAAGGGCCGGGCTCCCGTGTGCACCGGCATGTGGCGCGTGAGGTTGTAGTGCGCGTTGAAGACCTTGAAGGGGGAAGGGGAGGGGTCAGAAAGTGAAAGCAGAAAGAGACAAGAAACGCGATTAGAAAGGGTGCGCGAGAAAGCCAGCGCAGCAGCCGCAGCAAACAGCAGCCTCGACGGCCGCCTTGGCGGATCGGATTTGGGAGAGGGGATGGATCCGGCACTTGCCTTGCCGCAGACCTCGCAGGTGAAGACTTTGGGCTTGGCGCTGGGCGAGCCGCGGCTGAAGTCCGCCCCGACGTTCTTGAAGGGCAGCTTGTCGGTGGCCAGAAGGTGCGCGGCGGCGGCAGCTGCGGCGGCGGCTGCGGCTGCCGCGCTGTGCAGCTGGGCGTGCGCCAAATCCTTGAAGGCCGGCGTCGGGTATTTGTCGGGGCCGGGCGGCAACACGTGCAGCTTGTTCCTCTCCGCCAGGTAGGCCTTGGGCGCCGTCGGGGCGTGCAAGGCGGCGGGAGAGGAGGCGTGCAGCGGCGAGCCTAGGAAATAGGACGCCACTGGGTGGAGGCTGAGGCCCGACGGCGGCGGCGGCGGTTGCGGCGGCTCGGTGGCGCGGCTGAAGTAGCCCAGGGTGCCCAGGGCGTGGAAGGAGGAATGGTTGACCACGCGGGGCCGGACAAGCTTGTAGTGCTGCTGCAGCGGCTGCAGGTCCCCCGACGGCGGCTTGAGGCTCAGCGCGCAACTCAAAGACGCCGCCGACGAGGAAGAAGAAGGGGAGGGCGGCAGCGGCGGGTCCATCGGGGGCTTCCTGGGCTCCGAGCCCGCCTTGGCTAAGGGCTCGTAGGCCAGCGGCACGAAAGGGATCATGCAAGGGATGGAAGATGCCAGGCTGAGCGCCGCCTCCGCCTGTTGCTGCTGCGGCTTGACGTGCTGCTCGGCGCTTTTGGGGCCCCCTCCTTGCAAGAAGTGGGGCAGCAGCGGCAGGGCTTTGGGCTCCGGGGCCGTCCGGGCCATGATGCGCTCGATGGAGAATGCCAAAGGCTTGGAGGCACTCAACATGTTGGCTCGAGGAGCGGCCAGGCTCTTGGCAGCCGTCGGGGGGTGTTGCTCCTGTGGCGGCTGGCCGCTATTGTTCATGGCTGGCCGCTCGCTTGCCTGGGCGCCTCTCCAGCTGCCTTTGCCCCTCCGCAGCCCGCTCACTGAGCCGAGCCGACGGAGCCCCGCGCGGCTGCTGCCACCCGCGACGCCTCGTCCTCCGATGCCCACACCAAGCCCACCGCCGCTGCCGCCCTCGCCGTTTCGCTCGCCGTCTGGACCGCCTCCAGAACCGCCGACAGCTGCCTCTCCATCTCGACGGCCGGCGGCGGCACCAGCCTGCGCATCCCGACGGACTCGTGCCGGCCCATCGCCGCCTCTGCGCGCCTTTGGCGGGGGACGGTCGCCCCTGTCTGCTCCTCCTCGCCTCTCTCCCTCGTTTTCTCTCTCAATGGAAAGTGTTGGGTCAATAGCAGCAGCCACGATCCCGCCAATCGTTAACTTCCAAGAGGAGAAGGTAAACTAGATAATTGCTCAATTCGCTTCCAACAGGCATTAGGAGGAGAAGGGGGGGGGGAGGAAAGTGGAACCCCCTTCCCTCCCCGCTCCCAAGATCAGGAGGCTACTTTCCATTGGCGCCCGATCCTCCTCCGCCTCCTCCCCCCGCCCAGAGGGAAGGAGGTGGCTCTCCCCTCCCCCTCCGCCTCTGGGTCTCCCCCTCCTTCTCCTCTCCCCTCCTATTATTCCCAGTCTCCTTACCTTACACAGGCTTCAGAGGCCTCCAGATCAATGGTCTTGTTTGCCTTTAAATGACATCATCTTTTCCTTTATAATCATAAAAGGAAAGACAATTCGCGGCGTGACCTCTAAATCAGGGAAATTGGGGGGCCACAGCGATGGGCTTCTCTCGGACAAAGGAGGGGTAGTTGCGCTGCCTGCTTGTCAGTTTCAGCCCAGGCCGACATCCCCGCGCTGCGCACCTGGGCGCGCGTCTTGGCTGCTCTGCTTCTGCCCCGGGTCTGCTCCTTCTTTCCTCCCTCCCTTCCCTCCTTTCTCGGTGCCACTTCGGAGGTAGTCCTTTGGACGCCTGGCCTTTTGACAAACGCGCCGCCCTTCCCAAGAAACAAAAACGCTTCGCTTTCCGGAGGAAAAGCGCGGGGCTGTCGGCGGCGGCTGCAGCTCCGAGCGGGTGTTAGACGGGGAGTCCCAGTGTAGACGGGCAAGCCGGATGCAAAGGAGGAAGCCGTCGGGGAGACCCAGGTTTCCGGAGCGTTGAGGATGATGGCCTCGCCCAAGACCAAACTTTCAATAGCTATTCAAGCAAGGGCGACCCTAACCACTGCAAATTGGGGGTGGGGAGAGACAGACGGCAAAATGCCCAGCGCGAAAACCAGAGGTCAGCTCTCCCAGCGAGAACTCGGGAGGCTACAGTGAGAGATCACATTGAAATCAACGAGGAAGAGGTGGTTCCCCCACCGCCGTCGATTTTGATGGCTCCAGATTGCTCACCCAGCGAGTAAGGGAATTTCTGGAGTCATTTCCCCCATCTCACCTCAGACTGGGCTTTCAGTCCAACCTGCTTTCTAGAGGCTGCTTAGCAACACAGCCTCGCTGTGCTCTAAATAGCGAGGTGTTCCTTCAAAGGAACCTTTCCGAGCTTTTGGTACTTTTCAGAGCTCCCGGGAACAAACTAGCGTTTAGCTTTAAACCAGTTTCATTAACCAAACAGAAACCACGCGGATTCTCTTAGGTTTAAAAGAGAAACAGATCCCGGTTCTCTCGCTTGTGAGTTGCTAAACGTAGCCAGCTCCGGCTGAATGGCGGGAGCCAGCGAGGCTTTGCCGTCGGAAGACACCCTCCACCCTTCAGATTTGGAACGAGCCCAAGGAAGTGAATTGCAGGGCTATTACAGGGCCGTTTCGGGGCAAATTGGTTTGGAGCCTCTCCGCTTTCAGATGATCCACTAATTAACGACAAATCTCTCTTTCGGTCCCCGGGGCCAAGGGCTATGTAAACAGGCCGGGGAAGGCGCGGGCCTGGATTTCCTCCGCCGAGAGGACGCAAACGGGCAGCAGAATGCGGGTTTGGCTTGTGTATTAAATCCAATGTTCCTATAGCATCCTCAACACAAAGGAATGAATTAAGAAAAAAACACACCCACCGATTGTACTGGAACAAAAAACAAAATCAAACAAAACCACCAACATATATTACAAACGCTCCAAAAACGATCGCGACGCATTAAGCTTTGTAACTCAAGTGGGACTAGAGAGGCTTGGAATATTTCTTTCCTTTCCACATACCCGTCCCATGCCCACCGCGAGTGGCTGGTCCCGTGCCCCACAGGAGAAATGCCGTAAAGCTCTTTGCGGGTGCTTCTCTTTTAAGGGCATTTGGGATAAGAATTCTATGTATTCCTTCCTTCCTTTATTGCATGCCTACCCCACCCTTTTTCGTCAAGGAGCTCGAGGGGGCGCACACGGTTCGCCCCCTCCTCATTCCATCCCCACAACTAGAATATACGCGACCACCGTCGTCAGGCTGGCCTCTTAAATACATCACAGCATAATCCCCCTCCCTAGCTTTTAATGGGACTCGTGGGCTGCTCCGCGTTAGCTGGGATCCTTCGAAAGACCGTGCAGGTCTAACGAGACGCGGCAAGCCCTTTCCCCCGACGCCCAATGAGTCCTGGATTTACTCCCTTCCAGCGGGGAGGTGGGGTTTTCTCTCAGGGAGCCCTTCCCCACAGCAGATGGGTTGGCGCAAAAGTTCTCTCCCCCGAGGGAAGCTCAGGTTCCCTTCCCTCGGCCCCCGAGGCAGACGCCAGACGGGCGCAGTTGTGGCGCGAGGGGGCAAACTAGGCTGGTTTCAGCGTACAGGTGAACCGGCTCACCTGGGCGACAAGGAAACATTTTGGTCACTTATCTCCCTCCTATTATATTTATCTGTTTATTATTTAATAAAAATATCTTATCTGCCCGACTCCCCATTTACTTCTGGGGCACCTCGCCGCGCCCTCCATCAATCCCTCGCCGTCGAATTTTAAAGGGGATGGATTCGGCTCCTCGCCTCCTGCGCTCCACCCCTCGGCTGGGAACTATTTCAGGCGAAGCTTTCGCTTCCTTAGCGCCTCAACAGCTGGCTCGCTCCTGGTCTTTCTGAGATCGACTTTTCTCTGACATGTGTTTGGGAGGAGGCGGAACGACACGCCGCGTCGTCGCTGGAGCGTAGGAAACCGGGTCCCAAAGCGGCAATTACTGGCTCTGCCGTTAAGACAACGCCGGACTGAGGAGGAGTTTGGGCAACCTAGCGCCGGATTCCGGTGTTTGGTTTTACAGTGAAAAGAAGGAGTGTGTGAGAGAAAGAGCCAGAGAGTAAAGAGAACAGACTAGGCTGAAATGGAAAGTGTCGCCTGGAAGGGAAAAGATCTCCCTTTCCAAGCCGAATTCACGCTACAATGCAGCGTTACTTCGGAATGCTTCTCCGAAGCACTTCTGCCCTTGAAACTCTACAAAGTTAGGCAACAGCCCTAAATGCACAAACTTGGGAGTAAGTCCCTCCTGGAAGCAGATGGGACTGTAAGTGCGTAGGATCGCTCTGCGCAAGTGCGCAGAATTCCAGTCACGCGTGGTCATCCTAGGCTGGTTGATTGAAAAGGAAATCCTCTTGCGTTCCGTAAGAACTTGGCAGTATAGAATTGCAGCTGGATCGTAGGCAAGTTTGTGTAGAAGTTCAGGCCCATCATGTCCAGCCCGGCTGGCTCTCAACCTAAAGAACCGCAGCTTTCTGCATCGGAGGAAGCGAAACCTGTCATCTTATATATGCCTTTGGTTTTTCAAGGCACCACAACTATAAAATGTCTCCATCCTAACTAAGCTTGTTTCCTCGGAAGATAGGTCTGCCAGAGCCAGTGGATTAGCTGCGCGCAAACTTGCGCGCTGGCTCACCAGTCAATCCGTTTGCTCTCTTATCCTAAAGCCGGCTCTTTACTGTATCTCGAAGTACGTGCCCATTGCCCAGAGTCTTGAGGAAGCAAATGAGTCTGACTCATCAGCGAGGATGTGAGGTGCGGACGTTTTAAAGAGCGACCCGGTCACCACCAGTAACATCGATCCTTACAGTTTTGCTAGAGAATCCGGAAAGAAAAGTAGCGCCAGATTCTACCAGAAACGGCCCAGAGAAGGATTGCTTGGCAATGTGCCCTCTACCCAAGCCCAAACCAGGAGCGGGTCGCTTCTCCTGGGCAGGCAAATCAGACGAATTCCAAAATCTTCTTCCAAGGGAAAGAAGAAACGAGGAAGACCGGAAGCCTAGGCCAGGGGTGCTTAAGGTCGCAGAAAAACCCTACCCGTTTCAGGGAGAGAATAATTCAGGCGCCATCTGCACTAGACATTTAAATCAGTATCATACCCCTCTAAACAATCAGAATTTCCCACGAAAAACCCTGGGAACTCTAGTTCCTTAAGCATGCTGAGAATTGTCAGGAGACTCCTATTCCCGTTTCCTAGGATGCTTTAACATCTCTCTCGCTAGGAAATTCTGGGAATTGTAGTTCTGGGAGGGGACTGCCGCACAACATTCAGCACCCGCAACGAACTACAATTCCCAGAATTCTTGCGGGGAAGCCGTAGCAGTTTAAAGCTGTATGATAATGCTTTAAATGTCTAGTGCAGATGGGCCCCTGTTAAAGCGACTCTTTCAGGCGACGGAAGGGATGATTTCAGACTAAAGGGATATACTTTTTTATTTTTAAAAAGAAAGCTAGAACTGCTCAGATCCACCAAGTGGAGTTTGGTGCAAAAGACATAAACTTAACAGAGATTCACAAACTGTGGCCATTGGCTAGGCTTGCCATACCTCAGGAAAATTCCTGAGATGTCCTGGTTTTCGGGTGTAAAAATGGCGTCAGGGGGAAATTTTGCCGAATTGGCAAAATGTCAGGAAAATCCCGATGGAAAAAGCAGCGCAAGCAGCTCCAAAGGCATAATATCACTATTTTTTTGTTTGTTCCCAAAAATAAAAGCTCAACAATGTCGTTGGTTTCCTTAAAGAAGCTCAAGAATTTTACTTTTTGAAATATGGCAACCCCCCATTGGAACACGAGACAAGCTTCACTCAGG